CTACTACTACTACTACTACTACTACTACTACTACTACTACTACTAACAGGCTGTTTCGGGACTCGACCCACAGGGAACTGGGAACCAGCTGTTGTCATGTGTTTCTTGCAGAAGGTTCTGCAATCACCTTCCCCATGCCAAGTTGCAATGGGTTCTTGAAGATCTGGAATTCCAGGGCCTTGTTGCAACGGACCGCTCAAAAAAAGGACAACGAGGATTCGGATTCGAAGACTGACTTCTGAAGAGCCATCCCAGATCTTTCAGTGAAAACACGTGATGTCTATCTAGGAAAATTGAATATGTCACGATGATTCATTTAGAACATCAATAGCGACAAATCGCCAAACTCCCATCAATCTAGAAAAAAACACAAGAGATGGAACCAAAAGACACACAAACAACAAGGCATCGGCTTGTCGAATGAAAAGGATCTGCAGAATGTCCCCGTCGCTTGGGCTCTGGAACCCTGGCAACTGCAACCTCTTTGATCACGGAACTGGCTGCAGCCATCAACCCCCCTTGGAACAAGAGCTACGAGTAACTTGAGTCAGTAGCGACCAATTGCACATGGCTCCTGCATGGCTGACAGGGTCAAATAAAAGGATTGTCTCCTGGACATGTAAACTAAGGGACTGCCTTGCAATCATGGACCCCTGCTCCTTTACATAAATAACCTCGGGAAATTCTGTGATCTGTCTGATTCTGGAGGTTCCATGATATGTATGTTCACGTTGTCTCACGCTCTTCTGTACCCCTTCTGAGGGAGTCATCCACCATCTCTTTCCTCCCCACCGGGCGGCATAGATGTCTCGCACACCCACCGGCTCCACATAGGAGGCGTCCGTCCAGAAGAGGTTCAGGGACAGAATACCCCAGAAGTTGATGAGATATGGCCTGCAGATCTGAAGAACGAAGATTCGTGGCGTGGAGAGGAGAGCTTCGTCATTCGTTTCTTCCATTTTGGATTCTAGTCGGACCAGCTGACTGGAGATGTTGGTTTCTCTTTTCCCGAATGGCACGTAGGACCATTGTCGGACCATGGTAGGACCGTGTGGATTCTAACACCAGCAGCACAGCTGCTCGTGGCCTTCGCGACGCATGGCCAGGAACACATCGGATCCCTATCGTCGCCAGGAAGTGGTAGTGGTGGCAACGAGTGAGGATGTCTAGGTAGTGGATGGAGGCAAACTGATTTGATCCACGAAGAAAGTCAAGATATCAAAAGAGTTTGACGCAAATTTTGTGTCGCTTGCCCTGAAAATCACCTCTAGTTAACTGTTACCTAAGGTCCATGTAGTCGTTGTACAGGAGGAATTGCTCCGTGTAGGACCTGCAAACAAACACTGGGACCAAATGGGAGCCCCTGCAATGTAGACTGTTGACCAATCATATGGTGCTCATGTGGCGCATGACTAACGTTGGACCCATGCAGTCGTGAGTGTGGGACCCTCAGCTGGCCCAATGAGACCATCTCAACAATTGGTTGACCTCTTCTTGCAGTCTCAAGTCCTATCTTATAGTATCCCTATAGGGCGACTTCACCGTATCCTCAGGTTCGGTGGTTAGACCCCCCCTGACACACACCCCTGTCCCATCTTCGAAACGGAGGTGGGCCAGGAGCTCTAGGGTATATAATACTAAAAGCATCTAAAAGCTACAACTCATACGTTGTTCGGCAATCAAACCATTTTCCTCCTCTGCATGACGCTGGTGCCGGGTCGTTTCCGAACTCGGGTCTCCAAGTGGCGGGGGGCGGATGTAGTAAGGCCCGAACTGATCCTCGGAGCGACACATGTTCCAAGCCATCGGGAGAAAACCCTCAGTCATGTTTTGGAGCCAAAGCAAGACCAGCCACCCTAGGGTGTTCCTATTCGAGGTCATGGGATAGGGTTCCAGTGACGTCTCCATCGTCTCATGTCCATCGTCGATTCCAAGCCCTGTTTTGCTCATCTTTGTCTGGGGTCTTACAGCACTTACAACAATAACAATGAACAAGAATCAGTGGAGACATTCGGGTGTGGACTGCGTCTTCTTCATCCTGGACCACAAGAGTTGAAAAAGAGCAACCTTATGTGTCCCTAGGGATCCAAGTACCTTCTCAGGTACGGTGATGTGTTCGACACTGTTATGTAGGTGCCAGGAGGGTCTAGTCGTACCCACTGAGAAGGTACGACTGGATCCCTAGGGTTTGTACTTGTCCTCCCCAAACGCGACCCGGCACCCTCATATGGAGGGGTCTCGATATGTCTCGATCACGGCTGTGACCGTTTTTTCTCTGGGCACCTGGGCCAACACTTCAAAACGGTTTGAACCAAACCGTTCTCCTAAGCGGATTCATACGGAGTTCCAGATATCTTGGGGGAACTGAACCCTAAAGCATCCTAAACCCTCAACCCTGCCAGTGGTTCCGAGTTGGGTGCCGAACGAATGAACGGAGACTCCGGGTGCCGATCTTAAGTTAGTGACTCAACGCCACCCCCGACTGGTGACCTCCGGGTGATCCTCTCTTTTCACCCGAATCCCGTGAACGTTACCGCGAACGAAGCCCGGCACTGTTGGTCGACGCTTCGCCCTTCCGCCGCGCCCGGCAGGCCAGGTCTCCGTGTCGCCGAAGCGGAACTGGAAGAGGTGGATCGTCATGAAGGTCAACAACATCAAACCTGAGATGCCAGGAACGCCCCCAACGCCGCGCGGGTTCCCCGCCGACGCGGGAAGCTGTGTAGCGGGTTGCAGACACGCTGGAGGAGTGAAGTATGGCGTTTGGGGGATGTTTTTGGGGCGGTTTTGTTCAAGGCCAGAAGGAGTTTTCAAGGCCAAGCAGGTTTCTGGTGCATTCTCCTAAGTGACTTGAGCGAGATAGGAGTGCGGAGAGGTCTGGGCGGGATCGGAAGTGAAGGTCGACCTCTTTTCCCCGGAAAATGTATGCAACTCTTCCATACGATCTTTTGGGGCGCTAAAGATCGTATGAGTGGTGAGAATCTAGTTGGTTTGATAACTTAATTGTTCTGATAGGTCCTATAGGTATAACAAGTAGACCTAACAAGTAGCCACTCCCAACAAGCAAGAGACCAACTCAACAAACTAATCCCTGTTTTTGGTCTTCGAGCCAGCGAGGCAGCGCTCCGCGGGTCGGCGGATGGCGTGAGGAGCCCGTCCGGACTTGCAAGTGGTTGGGTTTTTTGGGGGGATATAGGTTGGGTCTATCCGAGTCTACCTGGTTGCCAGTGGATAATGATGGTTCAGGCCGACCGTCCCAAAATAGACTGTTACAGGTAATAGGACCGACCCAAGGTATAGCCTCTTCCTTCTTCTTCTTTCTTCTTCTTTCTTCTTCCTTCTTGTTCATCGTGTTCCATGTTGAAAAGGACATCTCACAGGAGTACAGCACCGGGCTAGTTACTGATTCCCAAAAAGAAACAACAACAAAAAGCACAAACAACATCAAACAACCCATCGGCCATGGATTTAAGATGATCAAAAGGTTCTACCATCGTTACCACGGATCGGCATTGGATCCCTTGACATCGCTGAGAAGCCTGAGATGGCCAGGTTCAAGACACCTACGCCCTGACTGCTCACCAGCGCCAGCTTCATGTCCCAGGTCCTGACGATCGCGTGGTCGTTCGACACAGGTCAAGTCACTGGTTGACATCATGACAGATGCTACGGCACATGCTTTTTGCAGATCCTAAGTGTTAAGCACATGCTAAACATATAGCAGGCCATCAGCAAGGTAGCCCAAACTTGAAACAAGGGACTCGTAGTTGCTTCATGTTGCTTCCAGACTCATGCGTTGCTGAACGAATTTCTCACCGGACTCATGTGTTGCCCAACATCCATGGCCCTTTTTGATGAAACACTCTACCAGCATAGACCCCAAACAGTTTTTGGCATCATTTAGTTGAATTCCAAAGTTGGAAGCGTCTGTATAGTATACTGTATAGCTATATTCCTATAACCTCCACCTGTTTGGGAACAGAATGTAAACAAATGCCTTTTGTGGGGGGGGACAGGATCACCTATGCGTCCTCCGTTGTAGAACATCCTGATGGATCTCCGACGGTTTTGTTCGCAAACAGAGGTACTGTTGTTCCGATGTTTTTAGGGGTCAGGGTCAGAGGTTTTTCAACGATGTTGCTTTGTTGTAGGACCGGATGTAATTTGCCATCTTGAACCAATGCTTTTGGTCTTCTGAGCATTGCGCCGCGGACAAAGCGTGGACACTTTGTGGTTCAGATCAGGTGCCCCTCCTACACAAATGTGTTATGATTCCTCATTAGGAATACAGATTTTGACACCTCCAAGCCGAGTGTTCTTTGCACTCGGAACGGATGTTGTTTGACGAAATGCGCTGAATATTAATGTTGGAGCATTTGTTAAAAGTAACCGCTGCTCATGAGCAGTGTTTACTTGTAATGTGTCTATCTATTTCGCAGGGAGGATGATATCAAATCTATCACTGTTGTATTCATAGCCACGAGCGAGTGTCACAAGAAATGTTTGTCAAGACGGAGGTCCGGTGGTGGAGGTCCCCGCGAATTCGGCCGGCCCAAGGCGATGGACCAGGACACACACAGACGGCGACCTGCACCAGGCGGGCCCCGGTGGTGAAAAAAGGGCGGATGGCGCGGACATAGGTTCTATCGTGGCTTTCGCCCCTTTTTTTCCAATCAGAGAACCCCAACAAGTAAACTGTTTGAGGCAAACACCAACAGCAAACAGCTCGGTGGCTGGTGGCCTTGGTGTGGTCTGTGGTGTGGCCTCGGCTCGCTTGTCTCCATACAATTTTAGAGATGCAAAAATGGTCTCACCACATCAAGTGAATCACCACTGTGACGTGTTCGATCAACGTCTTGGACCCCGACCCGAGGACCATGTCGACCAGCTCCGGTTGTTTCCCCCGGCTGGAGCGAAAAAGCGACTAAAAGTGACCAAAGCCGCACGAAAAAGAAAAGCAAAGAAGACACTGGTTTTTACTCAGGTCCTCTTCAGGCCCACAAAGACGTGCAACAAGACGGAGAGCAAAATGTACTCCTCATAGCAGAAGCACCCAAGACCGGAACGTCAAGCGGAGCGCCAGCTGGGGGGGCAAACGGTCCGGTCGACGTCCCCCGAGCTTGGCCTGAAAACCAAGTCAAACCTTGGCCTGAAATTCCTGAAACCTCATGGAAGAATGATTTTGCATGACCAAACCCACTTTGGATCTTCGAAATGCCATTTCATGCCATTTGGAATTGGGGACCATCCCCTACATGGGGGTACGTTCTGGCTTGGCCGGCAAGGCTAGCTTGGGGCAGTACACATTAAACCCAAACATTGAACCTCATGGTGATGACGACGGTATACGACGCTCAGCTCAAAGATCATGTCTGGATCCTTCTGGACAGCTGAAACGCATCATGAATGAAGGCTGCCAAAAGGAACATCACACAGATTAACAGAACTCCCTTTCTATCTTTATCGCTTTCAACTAGCAGTCAATCTCCTTGCCAAGCACACCATCTGTCTCTACACTCGCCTCCAAACTCATCTACCTCACCACTGCTCACCCGCCGGGCACCCCCCACCCCCATCTCCAACCTCGACGATGTTGGCTGGCAGCCCAAAGCCCGTCCAGTAGAGCCGCACGTAGAAGTAGCCGTAGCCATTGAAGTCGTCCGGGCCTGGACGACGTTGCCGTAGAACGTCGAGAAACGTCCAATGCTTCGGCGTTGAATGGAGGTGTTCGATCACCGGTGGCTTCGATCACGGTGGCTGGGGTTAAAGGAACACGCTCGCACCTGACTCGGGCCAACAAAAAAATGAAACATTAATACAGCGATAAGCAAACGATTTGGTCGATTTCATCGGGTGCGCAGCTGTCGATCCCAGGAACCCCCACGATCATGGATGCTTGCAGGCAGACATCGGATTTCGTGACAATCGATTGATCCTTAAGGATAAACCTGGGACACACCGTAAGGATAAGCCCAGGGATTGCCGCCCTTGATCTCGTGCGCTGTCCATGTCCTATGTCCAAGGAGCCCTTGAAGACGTGGAGGTTGCCCACTGCATGGATCACGATGAACAAGATCAGCAAGATGGCGCTGCGCGTCAAGCCCAATCGATCGTTGGAGATCCTGCCCCAATCGATGCGGCACGAGCGCCCGAGCGCCGGCAAGCGCCATGGAGATGGATTGGCCGAAAAACAGGTGCCAGTCCAGGCTATAATGTATCACAATAAAGTAATATGATATAGCATATAGATATGATATGATGTGATAAATAAAAACAATGATAGACAATATATCTAATATAATTTATATATATAAATATATTATGTATTGTACGTATAACAGTATAAGTATAAAAAACAATAATAGAAATAGTTTTTTATGTCAATACTGTTGGACATTTATATTATATAACACAGTCGTACTATATAATCCGCTGCAAGAAGTGTCTTCACACAACGCTTGATGGACAAAATGTTTGCTCAAACCCCAAAAGGAGGGAGGGAGGGATCTTTGTTCAGAACCAAAAGAATACCTTTGCCATTAGAAGGATGTCTTTTGGATTCGTTATTCACTCATGTTCACTCTGTGACAGTTTGTTCATCTTTGTTCACCCCTAAATATTCCAAGGGTCTTGATGTTCTTAGCGGAGAAAATGGTCGCGCACACTTCCTGGTCGCACGTGGTTTCTCCACGTGGAGAGCACAACTGGGACATGGGAAGAATGGATTCGTGCTTTTCAGGCGCATCTACCCGGCCCATCCAAAGGGGCTTGAAAATACGTGGGCTTCAATTGGAGAGCCTGTGCATGGTACTAGTACCTGTCACACTTGGTTGGTAACCAGCTGTTACATGAAGACATTGTGTCCCAAGAACCTGACTGTGGACTGGACTACCCTTCCTACCAGGGCGCTTGGCCAAATTCTGTTAGCACAAATACTGGACTGGCTACTGCTCCTTCTGAGTCTGAATCACGAGAGTCAAATGCCAAACTCCGTAGTTAGAAGGCATCCGAAGGGAATGGAACTGGACTTTTCTGGGTGGAGCAGGGTATCATGTCCTGGCGGCCAATGTCCCACTGAGCTCAGATCAAATATTACTGGGAATGTTGAACTACTGATTGCCCACAACATAGATACAATCCCTGGAATCATCATGGAAGTGGAGTTCACTGCAGGTGTGGTCTTCGGATTTGGGCATCCTTTAAGCCTTCGGGGGTCATGCCATCCACGTAACCATGATCATTCTGATCCTTCCAGGGATTGTGCATCTAAATTTGATGGCCTCCAGGAATTCGAGAAGGACCTCGTGTGTCTACCAGCATCTGGGCACACGCGGCAAATTTCTTTCTCCAAAGGAACTCGCTCCGTGTCAACGTCCAGCGGCATGGAAATCACATGGTTCTGTGGAAAATGGGCCCGAAAGGAAGACCATGAAATCCTCTAGAAACAGGGGGGTGAACTCCGCTTCCATGTTCAGATCCACTGGGATGGAGGGGGATCAAGTGGGATGGCATTCTTGACACTAACTGCCCCTCCATAGTAAGGTCCAGTTTGCCCCACTGAAGTAAAGGAAGTTCCTGGAATGGGGTCACCTAGTCAGAGCATTTTGAACATAGTCTTGGACTTCCAGGGTTCTACTAGGCTTTGGTGGTCTTCTCACTGGAAAGCCAAGAAAGCAATTTCCCCACCCAGATCCAATCTTTGCCAGGCGTCGTAGAGGATGGCGAGCACGAGGAACCAGGTGGCGTTGAAGTAAGACTTGATGTTGAGGATAAAAACACCTGTGCCAGGACCACGGAAGGGGTGCTTATTGGATGGCAAATACATCGTCAAAGGTGTCCATATACCCTCCTTTCCGTGGTCTGCTGGTGAAACTTAGACCACTTCTGATTCTGTGTCCAAATGACATAGCCAAGGGGGGGGGGAGCGAACTCCGAACTCGTGGCGGTCCGACTTCCGACCGGGTCTGGACCAGACGACCGGGCGGACGACCGTGGGGTCTCCGAACCAATGCCACGCCCTGTGACACGACTCGTGGCGGTCCTTTGGGGGGCTCCCATTTGAGCATCCGCGAGACATCGCGAGACTCGTTCCTGAATGGCATGAACCCACAAAGATGAGTGTATTTGGACGGTTGTTTGATGTTGTTCAGTGGTGTGCCCCCCTTTTGAGCAGCATTGCAACATGTGTGAGGCACTACAGAATGAGCCCTTTGGGGGATTCCAAATGCTGTCTCAGGTCAGGTACGATTGGACCCTCAAAACTGACATAGACATATATATATATAATATATATAATATATACATATATATATATATACCAGGACCTTCAAAGTGACCTTTTGAGATCCCAGAATGAGGTCACTTAGAGACTCCAAAGAGGTCACGAACTGAAGGTCCTGGTATATCATCTAACAGTGTCTCCGTCCTCACCTTCGGAGAGGGAGGGTGACACATGGTGACACATGGTGACACAGGGAGACACATGGTGACACCGGTGCTTAGCTTAGCATCCACCTGTCACCGTTTTCACCCCGGTCCGGCCTGGGTTCTCATCCAGGTCGACTCGCCAGTTGGTTTGTGCTCCATCCAAATGACCCCAGGCATGGTGGTTTGACAAAGCGCCGCCCTTGTCCTTCCTGCGGAGTGCGATCGTGATGATCTTCCTAAAGGATCCACAGTAAAAGAAATGAGGAGCAGCTGAAAATTCAGCAGCTGGTTGAGACTTGTAGGAAACAACAAAGAAACCGATTATTGAAATGTCCAAAGTAAAAATCCAGCTAAGCTGAATGTCAATTGAGCTATAGGGACCCAATGGTGCAAGGAATCATTAACTCTGCAAATCCAGATTCAATGAGCTCCTGGATCCAACTGCCATCCTTGCTCCACTGCAGTTGAACCTTGCTCGACCACCTGACATCCTCTGGTGGTTTTCAACTCACGAAAGGGTCAGTGGGATCAATCAATCGTCCCAAGTAAAGGTTGAACCTAAACATACTAGGACCATCCAACAATAGGTGTTCAATGGAGACCCCTATATAGGCGGTGTAGGGTAGTCCAGGACACAAAGACAAGATGCTCCTGGTATGCCTGGGGGTCTCTGGGTCAAAACCAGACCTTGCTTCACCTATCCAGGTGTCGCGGCCACGAGAAAGAATCCCTAGATCTGAAGCACACGACCAACCGGGACGTCCTCGCAGGAGCGCCTCCCTTGGCCGCACCGCCGGCGGCCGCCACTGCCACGCCGGAGCCCACGTTGCCAATCACCGAGTCAGGGGCGTACTTGCCGATGACGTCGGGCGGATGGATCCTAGGTGAACACATGGTGAAACATCGTGAAAAAAAAAAACATGGTTGATTGCTTGAACATGAATTTGTAGGATTCTTGACCCATATTGATTTAATATTCTTTAATGGTTCGAACATGTTCGAACCTCCACCTAACAACCACGATTTAAGGTGTGCTAAGAATTATAGACTACAAAGCGACATGCAACCCCAATGCCATGAGTTCAGCATGGAATCGGCAGGCTTGGCATGGATGTTGAGTGACCTTCCATGGATGTTGAGTGACCTTCAGCCACCTGAGAGGCCGAATTGGAACACCAAAAGATACCAAAAGAGCCATGATCAAACCCGTTCACATTCCCCAGGAGGGATCACTGCAGGTCGTTGGTGTTTTTTCATGGCCTTGAGGTCTCCCAATTTCTAGTGCTTATCGGGTATGACGTGGCCAAAATCTGATAGAAAGGACAAAAACCTGATGGAAAGTCCCTGTTCGAATGGAGCGAATTGAGCATATCCCCAAAAATGGCCTAGACTAACATGGCCGGAAAATCGTTTTCCTCTACCAGCCAGTGGTTGTCTATGTTAGTCTTTTCTGGGGGATGAATTCCCATAACATCCTGGACGCTCAAAACCTCGGGAAGTGACAGCCGATTCGAACGCGTGGACCGACCCGGACGGCGCGTCCGGACATCCGAGCGTCATGTTGAACTCCTCAGTGGCATCCTTTCCGGCGAAGGTGAGGATCGCCAGCTCTCCACCGGGATGTTCACTCAGGAAGCTGGTCACGTCCAACACCTGCAGGAGCCAACCGATGTGTTAGCGAGTCCGGATGAGATCGGAATGAGACAACGGATGGTTGAGACGGTGAGGAAGGCGTGATCTGGACGGTCGAAGCCATCCTCAGCTTCGTCCAAGCAACTCATCCAAGGAACTTTGGGGCCATTGGTTAAAAACTCTGAACGGGGGTGAACATGTCCTCATGTTATAATATATAGATATCCCTTTTGAGAGACGATCTGCGATTGCCACAAGTGCCACAGTTAACCATCCTGGAGGCGTATCCAGTGGGAGTCAAGCAAGTTTCAGACAGTTTCAGTCACAGAACCCGCCTTATGGAATCGGACCCTACAGATTTGGAGTGGCATACGTCCATTCGACCCTACAGATGTTGTTGTCCAGGACCTTCCCAGTGACCTTTTCAGATTCCAGAATGAGGTCACTTAGGCCTTGAAAGGGTCACTTACCAATCCTGAAGAGGTCACTGGGAAGGTTCTGGGTGGTGTTTGTCCATTGAAACTTATAGTATCATCGTGTTGCAGGAACACACATCAACCAAGGACTGCGAGAAAGACCGAACACATCGGAAAGTGAAGGATCAACGTCCTCGCTTGCCCCCCCCCAAGCTCCTCCCAGAAGACTGACTCACGAGCCGGAGATTTTTTTGGAGAAGAAAGGTCAAGCTGATTCAAGGACAAGAACTGTGTTGGACTCTCATGCATTCTCGCAGTAACTTTAAAACTCAACACCTGCAAGTAAGCTTTCGAAACTGCAGCAACCAAGCTACTGAGCTGCTAGAATAAGGTCAAATCACAGCGCATCAATGAACAAGTGTGAAGCCCGTTGATCGTGGCTGATCCCGGTTTTTGTCCGAACAACTCATGGCATTTCTGTGTTTTCTTCGCGTTGTGCGGGAGGAACCTCTCAGCCCCATGTCTCGCGCTTCCATCGTCCCGTTCCGTTCCGGTTCCGAGCCACAGCCCCATGTGGCGAACGGTGAACGGTGAAGTGATGTGAAATAACTTGGAGATGGCCAAAGCATTGGACTGCCAATTCAAAGATGGCCTTCCTACCTCAAAGCCCGGATTGTTCTGTCTCGACACATGATATGCAATGATGTGTCAATTTTGGAAGCATCAACTGCCCAGCACTGGCCAGAAGACCGATTTCATATCGCAAACACCAAACCAGCGCGACATCCGACGCTGCGCAGGTTCAACGTTCCGCGGCGCGGAAACGCTCGCGACGCGCGGGCGGTTGCCTGGCCATCCACGACCACCCAACAGTCCGTCTTGCTGTTGTGCTTCGCTACCTCCGTCATCGGAATGCCTGGAACGGGACCGACGCGGGCCGCAAAAAAGCGGCCTGGTGCGTCCAGGCCAAAGCCTGGTCAGGATCTAGACCAGAGGGACCTTTTGTACCAGGTGATTAGGGCCGAGAAGTCCAAGGTTGAAGCTGATTCTGAGCTCTCCTTCATTCCAGGTTGACTGATTGAAGGCAACTCCAGTTCACTTCCGCCTGAGGTTGACTGAAACGAAAGTGCCCGTTTGGGCTCCTGGCCCACCTCCGTTTCGAAGCTGGGACAGGGGTGGGTTTTGGGGGTCTAACCACCGAACCTGAGGATATGGTTGGAGCCCTAGGGGTGTATCTAACCATCATCCTCAGAGTTTGCTGACTCATAGCACGTGTCACGCATCACCAGAAGTTCACTGAAACGGGAGGGTGTCCAAGCACGTATTCCTCGTTTCATCTCACATTCCACGTCTTGTGCTTATTAGTGGCTTTCCACTTGAACTACACTCCTGAGTCAACTGACATAGACCCTGACGTCCTGGCCCGCTGGCCCCCTGGAAGAGTGTTTTCCTCTACCAACCAGTGGCTTCCAGGGTCCATGTTAGTCTTCCAGGGTGTACACGCTTTCTACAACAGCAGTTACCCTATGCCTGGAGCTCCACCGCCGCCACCGCCACCGCCACCGGCAGCCACCGCTCCACCACCGCCGCCAATGGAACCGATCACGGAGTCCGGGGCGTATTTTCCGATGACATCCGGTGGGTGGATCCTTGAGTCGAGCGAGTTGCGCCGAGGGAAGTAGCTCGGACGGAGGACGCAGGAGGATGGAAGCTCGGTCCACTTGGAATGGCCCAGCCAGTGCCATGACCCACAGCCATATAACTATAATTCCTTCTTGTTCACAGCTGACGGTATCTCAAGGTCCGGTCTCTCTCCTCACATGGACTACATGAACATCATACGTCTCAAGGCCTTTGTGTTAGTCTGCTCATTTATATATACAAATTGTTCACACGCAAAAACTCCTAGTGTTGGTATGTCGCTAGAACACTGAACACTGCCCAACAAAGCATAAGGCTGTTCTGTCTCCTCTGAAACTAAACGAAACTGGCAGGGTAGGTGCCGAGTTATGAGTTCTTGAAAAGGGCAAATAGCACAGAGTAATTGTAACTGTAATTGTAGTGCTCCCAACAAATCAAATGTCCAAGATTGTCCAAGCTATGTCTTCTTTACGCGGTCGTTGCTACCCAAACATGCTTGGCCAAAGCTCCACTCAGTCGATTCGCCAATGCTCCAAGAACCCCTTCGCCAATGCTCTTCGCTATCCCACATTCAACATGGCAGTTCCGAACCTTCCCCACTCGCCCCACTTCTCCTGAAAAGAAAAATCAGAAAGCGTTTTCATGCCTGGACATCCGAGCGTCATGTTGAACTCCTCGGTGGCGTCCTTTCCGGCGAAGGTGAGGATCGCCAGCTCTCCACCGGGATGTTCACTCAGGAAGCTGGTCACGTCCAACACCTGCGCGAGGCAACGATACAGAAGACAAAACAGAAACCCCGGAAGACTCACACCCCTCCGAGAGCCTGCGTTGAGAAGGAGGTAACGGAAAGGTGGAATCAGAAGCATGAGGAAGAGCTACAACGGTTAACAAAGAGGCCATATGACCCGTGCTTTCTTCTTCCATGCGAAGACCAGCTTACCTCACCTCCGCCACCATCCTCGGAACCTGGCCCTCGGAACCTTGCTGTGACCCATGTTCGTTCAAGCCAGCACTATTTCTGGTGAAAAAAGAAGAGGAAAGGTCCAGGTCCGCTCCAAGGTCTGAGCACGCTCTCTTGTCCACTCCGGTCTCCGGTCTCAGCTCAGCCAGCCTGGTCGTTTGTGTCTCCAGTCAATCATAACCAACATGCACCAAACAGCTCAAAACTCTTGCTTGCTTGCACATCCTGAATTGGCTGTGGGTCATAGCACCTGGAAGCCCAATACTACACTAGTGAGCACCAAAACTGCCCCTCACCTCACGGTAGGTGACCTGTAAGCGACCGTCCATTCTGTTGTTCCGAACACTCCCGGCTCTTAAGAGGGAGAAGAATTCTTCTCAACTGAACACTGCTGTCACTGATCGTCGTCACTGATGTCCACTGATGTCACCACACCCACCGATATCGGCAAACGCACCGGAAACTGTCGCGCTCTGTGCGGTGGAAACACGGTTGCCTGGCCATCCACGACCACCCAGCAGTCGGCTTTGCTGTTGTGCTTGGCCACTTCAGCCAAAGTCATCCCACCGGCGGCGCCACCGTTCGCCATGGGAGCGGCGCCAGCTGCTGTCGTGGCCGAGTTCATCTTGTCCTCATAGGAGCCACCTGCTAGCCTCAAGTGATCCAAATGACCGGCCAATCATACAGATCTGGTTCGTCCCATCTCATGTCCGATCTAATTTATACAGTATATCTTGTTGCCCTGTGGCTTTTGGGTGGGAAGTGTTTCTTGTTCAACCTATAGACCTGCCTATAAGGAGTGCTTCCAAACACAGATGTGCCGGATTTGAGATTCTGACCCTTCACTGATCTGTTTTTTTTCGGATACAACAAACCAACAATACAAGGAGTCACAGATCTGTCAAAAACAGAAGACTCCGGTCAGAATCTGTGCCGGTCTATTTTATGATCTGTACTTTCTTATACAACAAATACACTCAATGGCTATAATGGTTCCAGACAATTTGGCAATTCTCTTGGTGTATTGTGAGATGTTCGGCTTTCTCTGCTGCTGGAGCAAGGGGGGATGTAGAACCCCTCAGCACCCTTCAGATCCTTGACGTCGAAGAATGATGACTAATGATGACCAATGGCCAATGGCACAGAAGGAAACATTCCCGCCTTCCCTGCCACATACCTAATGGTTACCAATGCACCCCGAATGCACCGGATCCATCAATCAACTCCTAACTCTCAAAGCAAAAACTCTACCAAACTCATCCATGTCGACAAAAACCAACAAACAACATGTTATTCAGAACAGACTCGACTTCCGGCTTCCCACAGAGTCCTTTTCGGTCTTCCTTCCAACTCGCCCACTCCTCCGCGCACGTCCGAGCCCCAGCGGCTTGGAGCTCTCCACCGCGCCGGTCAAGCCGCCGCCGCTGACCTCGCGCAGGTCCACCGGCTTGAAGTCCGCGCCCAGCATGTACCTGAAGAGAACACGCAGGAAAGAGCGGAGTAACCCAAAAAGAGAGCTCGTTTATGACACCTTATATGATAGTTACTATATGCATATATGCATATACTGGATGCAAGCAACAGATCCGTGTTGTTCGCACGTATATAATATTTGAAGGGGAAAACCCAAGAAAGGCCCAAGGACTAAGGTTGACACATGTAACAAAGGACTGCAGTGCTGATGGGCGATAATGATTGAAAAGACAACATCTCATAATTTTGATATATTTGGATCATACCTTTAACCATTAGATGGACATAGTTACACAAATACATACTGTACATGGCTGTAAAAAAACAAACATGTAGCGAGTGCACTTTCGGCTCCACAACCGTTCGGGACTGTGCCATGGACCGATGGTCTGGGAGGACTTCGCCCATGGTCATCAGCGCGACAACGTGAGAATCCAAGAACGGACGGACCGACACCAAGAGGTGTCCATAAATAGCACCTTCACTTAAGAGGTGTCACAGGGAAGAGACAGATGGACCCCTTCTTGGATCTGGGGTCCCATCAATAGCCTCTATAGAGGTGATTTGGAATGCCTTGCAAGGTCCAACGAAATTCATTGCTTTCTGGCTTCGTGGTACGGTATGAGCGAACGAAACACTGCGAACCACTCCCAAACACGCCCAAAGTATAAGACATACCTTTGGGGGGGGTGGTTGTCATGTGGAGGTTAAACTATCTGCCCTATCTTTATATACATGGAATGTCTGGGTTCCATCCGGGGTGAGTGCACCATCCCCTGAGACGACCAGAGTTGAGCCATGAAGCTCCAACCCTAAGAGCATCCGATGTCGATTTCGGGATATGTCGGACGTGGGCTGTTCTTCGTCCAGCTGACACCTGGGAAACCCCCAGGTGTCCGACAGCTGTTTCACACTGGGCTAGCTCAGGACATCGATCTCGACTGGGCTGGTGACCGTGGATGGCATGGCCACCGGAAAGATCCATGTAAGCCATGAAGAACATCCTAATTCGTCGGAAGACAAAAAGTAAAGTTTTCGCAAACATGATTCTCACGATCGAAGATGACCAAACAGCTGGTGAACTCACTCCACGTAACCATGGATTCTGAAAGAAGGAGTGGTATGATTGAGTTGTTGTCACTTTAAAAAATAAAGAGACGAACGACGGGCGACCGTTGGGGAAACATGTTGCGGACAACAGTGCCACAGTGAGGCCGTTTTTCACCTGCGGGTTCTTGCAAAAGGGTGTTCCATGGTGGGGGGCTTGTCAGAGGTGAGGACATCCGCCTTCAGAAGGGAAGGACATCCGCCATGTAAGGTGGAGGACAACTGGGACATAGTGCAGTGCACCTGGTAGAACATCTCTGAACATCTGCGGTGTGACGCACCCACAAGGTTCCGCCCCGACATCGTGGGGAAAGAGGTGCAATATGTTGGTCTGGAATGTACAAAGCAACGAAACAAAATCTCAGGGTGACACCAACTTCCATTGTAACATCTTCTAACCAACACGATCCGGCTGTGCTGGGATGGTTTCTCACTAAACCAGTGCCCAGGGATCCACAGAATCCACAACAACTGGACCTGAGAAGGTACAACTGGACCCTCTTCCGGCACTTCCGTCGACTTCCGTTGACTTCCATTGGATCTGCCAAACCCCGCGACCCGCCAAGCCACTTGGCGGCGGCCCGGCCCGCCACACGGCCAAAGACCACGCAGTCCAACCTCGCTTCAGCCGGCTCAGGTTCAGTGGTTCGAGAGGGGTCCTGTCGATGACCCGTGGGAGACAACGATACGTTCAACGACTGGGGGTGACACTGGGGGTGTTCTTGGTTGATTGATTTCAGGGGGGCTCGTGTTGATGCGCTTCTGGATCCATGTAGATGGAGTATATGGGTTGTAGTTCCTTCATTGTCAATGACAAGGACTTGAATCATGCTGCAAGGAGTCCCAATGAGAACAAAAACTAAATGAAATGGCTTAAGCAGCGGCCAGTCTAGCACCTTCCAGTTTTAAGGGGTGACAGTTTGGGGCTAGCAATAGTTAGGATGCTCATGAAAGTGGTGTGGGTTGCTGGCCTGTAGGCTTGGAGCCACCCCTTACACGGAACATGGAAGCAGCACCCAACAATTTCGGTGCGAAGATAGCTCCATGCCATCCTCCTCAAAATGATACCTATCCGCCATCCATCGTTTTTGCCCGGAGTGGCTCAGCACCCACTTCCATCATCATTTTAGCAAATCTCCACTTTACACGCTTAAAACTCTTCACCCAACAAACGTGCCACAGATTCATCATCCCCATCACCTCTCTCTTCCAGAAAAAAAAAATAACAAAACAAACACAAAACTGGAAGAAAGATTGCGCGTCTCCTTCCTCCCCCAGGGCCTTGATCCAAGTCACAAGGAGTTCCCACCCAGGCGGTTGTTCCCATGCACACCGCCCGCCACCTCGCCGGCCGCGTAGAGTCCGGGGATGGCCTTGTCATTGGGACCCACGCAGGCGCTGTCGGTGTCGATCAGGAGGCCACCCATGCCTGGGATGAGTGTGCCGCCCATGGGGTCCGTATAGCGGGATGAGGAAGTAGAAAGGATCGAAGAAATAGACACAGCAGGTCTTGACACAGCAGGTATACCAACTTATTTTTGGGTCGTTCCCCCTTGTGACCGCTCGACCCTTATTTTGTGCGTGTACTTGTCGTCTATCAGTCTATAACCGTTGTTCCGCTCTTGGAGCGGTCGCAGCCCCCGTTGTAAAGTCTGAAAAGGGACGTGGCGCCGGACGTTGCGGGGGGGGCCGCCAGGCACTTGGAAGGTTTACTGTAGAGAGGTGGACTCCAACAACACTCTGAAACGAAACAGGGTGGTTGACCCACACCGTTAACACAGAGTTTAGCTATGCCTCGAGTTTTTTGTGCTCTTCATTTTGGAGCACCAAGCAGCCCAGCCAGATGCTCCAACGTCCGATCAAAACAAAGGGTCATGTGTCTGGGCTCATACGTCGTCATAGCACTCCGACTCTGCCAGGCTCACCCCTTTCTCCTCACATCGCTGGGACGAGCAGCAGTAGTGGATCACTGGTGTGATGATCGCCACGTAGAAAGGCTCATGACCTGGGAAGGGTCAGTGTCGGGGCCTTTTGGGTCCCAATTTGGGGAAGGGTCAGCGACTGGACTGGAGTGGTGGATTTCCCCTTGTTCATCCCGTTTTTCTGGATGGACATTCCCAGTTTCATCTCCAAAGTATAGTTCTTCCGCGTATCCTCGACCCAACAACCTTCGCTTGTGCGCAGTAGGGGCGGCATCCTGAACATTTTGATCTGGACAGATGCCACGACTTGGAGATTGGACCACTAGCTCCTTTTTCTGACAACGGATCCACTTTGATATCACTTGGCATCTGACTACCTACTGTTTCTTGCCTTGAATTTTTCTTTCGCGCGTTGTGAACTCCTCCATGTTTTCACCTACCATCCAGCAGTTCCATTGCACTTGGACGTGGAGTTCCGGCGCCCTGGTGGGGTTCCCTTCTTTGTGCCGGGTCAAGATCTCCATGAAGTGGTCAGCGTCAGAGCCTGGACCGCACCACACGCATGTGACTGTCAACTTTTGGGTATAGAGACAGTGATCAGGTCACCGCTTTTGCCTCGCCGCTCATTCCAAATCTTGACAAACTGCTATAGCCACCGCCCAAAGTGTATGGCTCGGCCACGGGAGTCGACAGATTCTTTGACCCATGGATGGTCCAGGCACGGTAACAAAGAATGCGACAGTCATTGAGCCATTCAAGGCGCTGAGCGGTGTCAAAATTAAGCACTTGAAAGCAAACGATAGCAGGACGCAACTTTGCAATCGAATCACAAGACCCGAACGCGTTGGATGCCCCATCGACATTAATGGACCAACAGATGTGTTTAGAAGAAGAACCTGACGGGCCCGGGTTGGGCTCGATGCCTTCGGCGCACAAATCTCGGAGCCATGTCGTGGCAAGAGGAACACCCTGAGTCTCTTTTTGTAGTAATTTTAGTTTTTCATTGATTTTAGTAAATTTGTAAAATTTAGTTTAGTTGGCGACTAAATTGCCAACTAAACTAAATTTTGGAAGAACAAGAAAACAACATAGAAACAGCATATAAACTACATAACATATTTTCCACAAATTTTTCTAAGCGTACGAATCAACCCTGTACAAAAACATCATAGTGAGCTGCCATAAAATCATACTCTGCCACTCCTAGTGGGATTTCTCACATGTCCCTTTAAAGATCCCAAGTAACTCAAGTACTGGAAATACAACTCACCACAAGCACTTCAACGAACTGTTTGAACAAGGGGTTTGAAACACAAGTCATTCGCAAGGATCTGTAACAACTTCCATCGCAACAATACTTCACACAAGCAATGTCAACACACTTCTACACAACAATCTGGCCACAAGGCGACTCAGAAAAGAGTGTCTCAAAACCATTCATCAACACTTCACATCATATGTACAACAAATACATCTAGCATTGCAAAGGTACCATTGAAGCCTTTTTGCTTTTGCTGGCCCTTAGATTTTGCCTTGAATCCAAAGCAAATGCCTTACCTTGTAGGCTGCTTTCTTTGAAGCTTGCCAGCGCTTTGAACCAGGAAGGCATGATTTCCAAAGGGCTTGAACCTGTGCATGGTGCATTCCCCCCTGTAACACCAAACAGGAAAAGGGTGGATGAACCGGCTCAGCTGCAGCGCATGCAACACAAAGTGTGTTTTGATTGTGAGGTTGAAGACTTCCAACTCCTTTGGATTTCTGAGAGCTGACCATGAAGCTGGGCAATTGCTGAGCAAAGGGGCCGACCTTGTGGTTTGAGAAGCTTTACTTCAGAAATCTGTTACTTGAGCTGTACATGTCAATATGTACTTGGGAAGCTTTTCCTGAGAGACTTAATGCATCAGTTCTACATGTACTTGAGCAGCTTTACTTGTGAAATAATAGTTGAACTAGCAAGTTCATGAATGGTGCATTCACAGAGTATGTCATCAGTTTGCATAAACTGTTAAGAAAACATGTAAACATGATACGCAAACGCTATGCAGTTTATATGCAGGTTTGAATAAAACATGTATTTTTAATCAAAATACATGTATTATATTAAAAAGACATATATGTTTAAAGTGAGCATAAGAAATGCATATACAATGCATATGGGGATTGTCCAACAAAGCTGTTCTTTTTGAGCTTGTATCGCCGGCCTTTCGCATGCCTTTCGCGTTTGCAGAAAAACCACAGGTTTTCCTTTCGCGCATTGTGATAAGCTTGTTCCATTGCACTGAGTTCACAGTCTTTGGGATATCTAAATCCCTTTTAGTGCGCTGAGAAGCAGGCTGCCCTTTGTCAATTCATAATTGAAATAAAGGTTTCAAGGCCATGGATGGGCAGATGCCCTTCCAGGCAATGCGCCCTTTCGCGGGCCTACCGCCGGCCTTTCGCGGCCCTTTCGCGAAAATCCGTGTTTCGTCATGTATTGACACGTTCCCGAAAATCCTTTCGGGAAAAGGATGTGTCATATATTGTCATGTATTATGCACATTATATGTTATAAGTCTAGGTTGGCACATGTCTTTCGCCGTCCTATCGCCGGCCTTTCGCGGACTGCAGTTTCCCTTTCGCGACATGTTTGCTTTAACATGTCATCTAAATTCCTTCACTGGCAATAACGGACGGCCCTCATATGAGTTTTGCTTGAGATTTTTGCGTTCTTTTGAAGATTTTTTGAGCTGTTGATAAGATTCCATTAAGGTTCTAATGGGGATCAGGAGACAATTCGTTTGAGTTTTATTTTGGCTTTTGATGACATTCACAAAAGATTCTGTTGTGATCAGGAGACATTGCTTTTGAGTTTTACTTGAGCTTTTCATAACAACCTAAGAAGATTCTTTTATGATCAGGAGACATTGCTTTTGAGTGTTACTTGAGCTTTTGAAAACAGCCTAAAAAGATTCTACCATGATCAGGAGCTAATTTCCAGATCAAGCCATATAGCACAAGCTGATTGACTTTATTCGAAGAAAGCTGCTTGCTGGACTACCCCCTTTGCTTGAATGATTTTTGTTTTTCAATACTTTTGAATAAGGGATTTTATAAAGAAAGTGCGCACTGACTTTTGGAAACTTTTGGAAAGCTTCAAAACTAAAGAGCTTATGAAAAGAAAATAAGGAATAGAGGGTGAGTAAAGCAAATCAAAAGGGAAAAAGTCAACTACAACAATAAGAAATATTCCACTACAACTACCCCTCCGAAAAAACATGACATTATTCTAGGGGCCTTTATAAATCAGTGCAGGGAAAAAAAGACTCTATTCTAGGGGGGGTTTATAAATCTGAGGGCCACATTACAGTTCTTCCGCGTATCCTGGACCCAACAACCTTCGCTTGCGCGCACCAGGGGAGGTATCCTGAACATTTTGATCTGGACAGATGCCACGACTTGGAGATTGGACCAGTAGCTGCTCAGTAGCTCCTTTTTCAGGATATAAAAAGACTAAAAACAGAACTTGTAACTTGTTTTTTTTAAACATACATTCGCGCGTGGTGAGCTCCTCCATGTTTTCACCTACCATCCAGCAGTTCCATTGCACTTGGACGTGGAGTTCCGGCGGCCGGAGTTCCGGGCAGTGAGTGTTCACAGCCGCCCCGGGCCGCGGCGGAGGGGGTGTTGAGCCAGCGGAACATCGACCCCTGGATCCCTGCAACTCCCAGAACCCCGCAGTGTCTGACGCGACATTTTGCCCTCCAACTACCTCCTGAGATGGTTAGTTATGGTGGCTTTGGGGGTCAAACCACTTCTGAGGAATATGGAGTGAGTCGGAGCCCCAATTGGTTCATGAACTAAGAAATATACCTAAAAGCATCTCATGACTTAAGTACGTACATTGGAACTTTGGTCGCTTCGTGCGTCTTTTCTTCGGACTGCCCTTAGACCTATCGCTGGAATTCGGACGGCATCCAGGTCTGTCAGATGGTCGGACATCAAGAAGACACGGTCCTACGGTGGGTGAAGTGCTAGTTAGGGCATGGGTGAAGTGCTAATTGGGGTGGGTGGGTCTTCATGATGCAGATGAATCGGCTTCAGAACAGTTCGTGACCTGGCTGTGGAGTGCCTATAGACCTGTAACCTTTTGCAGGCCTATATGTGTTTCATAACCGAACCAACCAGGGGATCACGTTCTTTCACGAACTGAAGAAACAGGTCTGTTCTCCTGTCGAACTCTTCAGGTTCCTGGGCAGCGATCCGGGTCATCAGGGGTGACTAGGTTTACTAGCCAAGCCACCCGTTGGTGTGTTGGCTTTTTTTGCTGTTTGTGTTTCTTTCTTGGCGCCACGTCACGGACGGCAGACCCAGGCAAGATGTTGTGGAAGAACTTCTTGCCACTTCCGGTCTTTCCACTGGCCTCTCAGGGGCTGCGGAAGAACCAGAGACGGGGTCTGCACAGGTGTCTTTCTCCCAAAATTCATCCAATGGACCCAATGAACAACCATGAACAACCCATCAAGCCCTGCGACTTGTCTGGGACCATTAAACTGGAAATCATATACCTCATTGACCCCCTCAAATGATGAACCCCTGGCCTGATCAGCACAACACTCCATCTATGGAATATATACAGTGTATATATATATGCCATATATGCCTACATTGACTCCTTTTTCAAACACCCCAATGTTGTTTTCATACGGCATCAAACCGGAGTGTCTGGGTAATGTACATGGAGTGTCAGGGAAGGTCTTTCTGTATGTCTTTCTTTTCTTTCTTTCTTTTGGTCTTGCTGTATGTCTTTCTTTCTGTATTTATTTCATTCTTTGTTTATTTCTTTCTTTCTGTTTATCTATTTTTCTGTATTTCTTTTCTTTCTCTCTCTCTCTCTCTCTCTCTCTCTGTGTTGGGGGTTCCACAAAACTCCATCTCTTTAAGCAGGATCATTCCTGATCTCCCCGGTTGCCCCACGTCACGAGCGCGGGACCTCGGTGTTCGCGTCGGTCTGCGCGTTCTCCGTCGGTGACAGTCCGAGAGACTGTCCAAAAGGGTTTGGGTGCGGGGTTCCCTTCAGTCAAAAGAGAAAGAGTCAGATGAAGAGAAAGAGACCGAAGCAAACCTGTCATCTTTTGTCCCCTTTCCCCTGATAAAAGATACAATCAGGGGTGGCAGGCATGAGCGGGCAGTAAAGTAGAGTTCGTTGAGGAATGAATCGATGTTGTGGATTTGGAATCTTTTTTAGTCTGATGTCGCACAAAATAGATTATAGATGATTATGTAATTAACATATAACATATAGATTAATAACTAAATATAAAGACATGAACCAGGCAACCAGCACCAATGGACTAACCACCACCAATGGACTACTCCTTATGAGTTTCCATTGTCCTCTTGGATGGATGGAATATGATAGAATCTTCAATCTTCCAATCCTAAAAACGGCCCACGTGAATCCTCACCCAACCCTGTGCCCGCCTCATCATGGGACTTACCAGAGGGATACGCCGGCCAAGCTCCTTCATCTGGATGAGTCTCGGTTTTCTTGGCGGCCTGGTAATGCTCCTGCACTCCATGGCGCCGAGGCAAACAGCGAGACAGCACGCAGCACGGCTTTCTGCCGAGTCACAACTGGTCACTGCCGATCGGCATACCATGGTTGAACATGTTGAAAAGTGCTGAATTCACGTATGTGGTTCCAGTATTTTCCAGTCCCATGCGTCGTGTCTGCGAGTGCCTCAGTGCTTTCCATTCACCAAGAGCAGGGTCATACCGAAATGACCGCCATGTCGCAGACCGACAGCTGCCGAAGCCAGCTCCACAAAAACCCGCGCGGCGCGTGCCGGTCCTCATGGCTCTGCTCCAACACTGAGAGATCCACACCCATGTCCTTGGCCAAATCTTCACCTCAGGCTTCCGGTGGATCATGGTGACCCTGGTGCTTTCCGGATCAGTGGAGTGTGGGGAGGGCATGGTGGGGGGTCATGGTGAGGACGCGTCAGAAACAGCGGCAGTTGCGGCGTGCCATTCTGCTGCACATCTTGTGTCGCGCAAGTTGCGGCGTCCAATGGACACTTTGCTGCGTCAGCTCGCATGAGACTACGTCACTACTCATCAAAGGAAGTTTAGTGTGCAAAACTTCCGTGTTACGGACATTCAACAGCTGTTCAACCACCACTCATCATACACCACTCATCATACACCACTCATCATACACCA